ACAAAGTACATAAGTACAGATAGCTTAACTTGGAGTACAGGGATAGCTTCAACCTAAAGTGCAAAGTACATAAGTACAGATAGCTTAACTTGGAGTACAGAGATAGCTTCAACCTAAATACAAAGTACATAAGTACAGATAGCTTAACTTGGAGTACAGGGATAGCTTCAACCTAAAGTACAAAATACATAAGTACAGATAGCTCAACTTGGAGTACAGGGATAGCTTCAACCTAAAGTACAAAGTACATAAGTATAGATAGATTAACTTGGAGTACAGGGATAGCTTCAACCTAAAGTACAAAGTATATAAGTACAGATAGTTTAACTTGGAGTACAGGACAGCTTCAACCTAAAATAACAAAGTACATAAGTACAGATAGCTTAACTTGGAGTACAGGGATAGCTTCAACCTAAAGTACAAAGTACATAAGTACAGATAGCTTAACTTGGAGTACAGAGATAGCTTCAACCTAAATACAAAGTACATAAGTACAGATAGCTTAACTTGGAGTACAGGGATAGCTTCAACCTAAAGTACAAAATACATAAGTACAGATAGCTCAACTTGGAGTACAGGGATAGCTTCAACCTAAAGTACAAAGTACATAAGTATAGATAGCTTAACTTGGAGTACAGGGATAGCTTCAACCTAAATTACAAAGTACATAAGTACAGATAGTTTAACTTGGAGTACAGGACAGCTTCAACCTAAAATAACAAAGTACATAAGTACAGATAGCTTAACTTGGAGTACAGGGAGAGCTTCTACCTTAAGTACAAAGTATGAGTACAGATAGCTTGACTTGGAGTAAAGTAATAGCGTCCTTAATGTGTAGAAATAAAAAAACGAATATCTCAAACACTATTGTTAAAGTGCAGGAAAAGCTCTGAAAGAAAAAATAATTTAGGACTCTCTAACAGGAGAAGACGACATTTAAGGAACCTCATGCGAATTCGATGTTGTTTTAGAGCAAATAGTGATAACAGTAGTTTAAAAATCAACTTATTAAGAGAAATGTGTTTGTTTGCATACAATTGTTGTGTTTCAGCTTGTTTGTGGGTACAATTTAAGTTAATTGAAAACGGATTTTTACAAAATGAAATGTCGTTCACGGATTTCGCTATATGTTCAATGTATTTGAATTCAGTGACGAACTCGATATCGTCTTTGTTATGAATTAGCATTGTAATACATGATTTCAAAAGCCATTATATGATTATGTCTGCTATAGTTTATTTTATGAAAACGGTAAATGGCTATATTAAAGATGTGTCTACAGGGTGTCCCAAAAAACATGGGAATTCAGTGACGAATTCATTGAGGGATATGGTGTAGTCAAAAACACAAATAACAATAACACGAATAGAATTGCCATATTTGAAAAGTTTCGAATAAAATCTTCCAAAAACATTCAGCTGGCTTGCATATTGAAACTAAAACTTGATTTTATTAAAATTGAACTTGTGTTTTATGGTTTAACGTGGGCTCCCTTAAGTGCACATAAATGCATTTGGTTTCACAATCTGCAATCTGCATTCACATCAAACTATATACGTTGAAAACTTTCAAAACAAAAATGACAAAAAAAATTCCTTGCACAAATTTGTGACTCGGGTGAAAATTAGAAATTTAGAAAATATAAGAAGTTTTTTTCTAAAGATTATTTTTGCTTCAAATACAAAAGAAGTTAGGACTTATGATTTTAAATTTTATCGACGTCAGCGGTTATAGCAAAACATAAATTTGAGCTTGACAAAAATTAAAAATGAGCCCAGCCTTATATCTGAAATGTGTTTATATGGCTTGCAAGGTTGCAACAAGTGCAGTTTCCAAAGAAAGAACGTACAAAAGAAACATTAAATCATGGTGCTAGGAAGCTTGGATGTAAGTTAGAGATTGCAAATTAAATTCTTAAAGATTTTATCAGTCAGTCGTTTTTATAATTCAGTCCGACACATGAGTCGTGACGGTATTTTAGAATTGATAAAATTTAAAGGAAAAAAATACAGGACAAGGTGTTTGTTAAGTTAAAGATTAAACGTGGGGTTATAATTGATCACAGTGCATGAGAGAAGGTGGAGGGGGGGGGGTCTTTAATAATAGCAAAAATACAGCGAGAACAAGAACACGATCTGGAATGGAGATCTTTTTTATTTCGAAGAATATTGTTTTTGCTATTGTGAAAATTGATAAATCTAAATTTTTTTTAAAAAATATGTTAATCAAACATTGAAAAAACCTTGTTAAATTTAAAAAGTAGAAAAAATAAGAAATCCGCTGTTTTCTGGTTCTCTCTGTATCAATATATCAGATGAACGAAAATATTGATTTATGCCTAAATCTTCGTCGTCCGTATCCATAGCCTCGTCATACAGCCTCCAATCCTCGTTAAATTCGTCCTCGCCGCGCTCACGCCGAAGACGAGCTTCTCTAGCCTAAGAACAGAACTTTAACAGTTTAAAAATGAGAGCCAAAAAAGCTGTGGAAGAGGAGGATAACTGTTTTGATTATAAACAGCCCGATGAACATAAAAAATCCACAGCCATTGTGCAGTGTACACAGATCAATTATACTTAATGAATTTAATTTCAAAATTGATTAAATGTCGTCTCCCTATTCCATAGATTTATAGGTCTCACTGTATTATCCCCTAACAGTTTTAATTTATATGAAATTAATAATGATAGTAATAATAATAATAATAATAATAATAATAATAATAATAATAATAATAATGATAATAATAATAATAATAATAATAATAATAATAATAATAATAATAATAATAATAATAATAATAATAATAATAATNCATGGGAATTCAGTGACGAATTCGATATCGTCTATTTAAATAATTCTTTGATTTAGTATAGTGATACCTAATGAGAAAGCTGTAATCTGTAAGAGTTTCGTCTGCTATGTTTACAATTTGTTTGTTTATGTTTTGGCTGCATACGGTTGTACTTAGTAAAACAAGAAAATTGCAGTATACAAACAGAGTAAACTTGTCCGTCTTCACTGTTCATCGTACGGAGACATTATAGACACATCTTTACAGTCTTTTACCGTTTTCATAAAATAAACTCTCGCAGACATAATAATATTATTGCTTTTGAAATTAGGTATTACAATGCTAATTCATAACAAAGACGATATCGAATTCGTCACTGAACTCCCATGTTTTTTGGGACACCCTGTATAATGTCTCCGCAAGATGTACAGTGAAGACGGACAAGTTTACTCTGTTTGTATTCTTTAATTTTCTTGTTTTACTAAGTACAACCGTATGCAGTCAAAACATAAACAAACAAATTGTAAACATAGCAGACGAAACTCTTACAGATTACAGCTTTCTCAGTAGGTATCACTTTACTAAATCAAAGAATTATTTCCCATGTTTATTGGGAAATCCTGTATCATAATTGGACGTATTTCGCATTTTGTAAAAATTAATCATGCCCACGTTTTTTTCGGTTTGTGATTTTAATATTTTAAAGAAAATAAATAAACAATTGTTTGAAGTCTAAAATGACTGTGCCGAATTATAAATACAATGGTCATTTATTTTTTACAAATTCAATTCTGTTTTCAGCGGAAAAATTTTTAAAACAATTTTTAAATGTTCAAAAATACAACTTTTCTCTCAATCCGTGTTAAATAGAAATGATTTGAATCAATAAAGTATAAAAGGAAAAGCCAAAAAAGGAGATTAAGAAAAAATTTGCAATTTCAGCATAAAAAATACCTGTTTTTCATATTCTTTAAGTTTGACTAAACTTCTCGCCATCTGTTCTCTCACATTCCTATTTATTAAATTATTATCATAAACTTAATTATTATTCTTTTTAAATTTTTTTAACTTTGATTCTAAATTTAATTATTGTTCTTATTTTAATAATTATTTTTTTCATTTTAGTTTTATTCTAAATTTAATTATTTTTCTTAATTTAATAATTATTCTTACCTCAATTATTATTCTTATTTGATAAAAAAGAAAAAATTTCTAAAATCAAATTATAAATGTCTAAAATCAAATTGGTTAAATATAAAAAAATAAAGCTAGAAATATCTAAAAGCAAGTTAGAAAAATGAAATTTATAATTATAAAAATCTAATATAAAGTTAAAAATATCTGATATATAGTTGAAAACTCAAAAATATCTAATTCAATGTTAGAAATATTGCATATAAAGTTAGAAAAATCTAATATAAAGTTAGAAATATCCAATGTAGAGTTAGAAATATCTAATATAAATTTGTAAACTTATAACATGACGTTAAAAATGTCTCAAATAAAACTAGAAATATCAAATACGAAGTTAGAAATTTCTAATACAAAACTAGAAATATCTAATATAAAGTTACAAATAAATAATAAAATGTTAAAAATATCTAATATAAAGTTAGAAATAAGTAATAAAATGTTAAAAATATCTAACGTTTTACCTGAGTGTATGAGTGCTCATCTCTGAGTTAATGGAAGCAATAGAATTAGTTTCCATCTCTTCCCCTTCCTCTCCCCTCACGGGAATACTGGAGGGCAGGGAGGCCAGGTACACCTCGGGGGTCAGGGGGGAGTTGTACGGTAGAGCAGAGCTGTTCGTCGAGACAGATGAGAGGGAGGTGTTGGATAGATACTTTAACTTCAAGTCTATACATAGATAAATAGATAAATAGATAAATAGGTAAATAGTTAGATAGAAGGATAGATAGATGAATAGGTAGAAGGATATATAGATAGATAGATAGATAGATAGATAGATAGATAGATAGATAGATAGATAGATAGATAGATAGATAGATAGATAGATAGATAGATAGGTAGAAGGATATATAGATAGATAGATAGATAGATAGATAGATAGATAATAGATAGATAGATAGATAGATAGATAGATAGATAGATAGATAGACAGATAGATAGATAGATAGATAGATAGATAGATAGAAAAATAAATAGAACGAAAAATAAAGATAGATAGACATGGATAGATAAATTTAGACAGTTGTGTATTACACATGAAAAAAAAATTACTTCATTTTTTGTATTTAATAACAGAAACGATCCATTATAACTTCATCAATAATGTATTTGCATTTTGCAACTTATAAAAAAATTTAAATAGTTTGAAACTTTGGGGAAAAGAAGACATTTAAAAAAGCACTCTTACCATTCTCGGGTGGTTGAAAATGAGTTCTTGGAAAAGATGAAAATCTTTCATGTTTCTCCCTTCAGTAAATTCATTTAAAAAATGAATTAATAAAATTTTGATAGAAAACAATATTAAACTTTTTTTCCAAAACTCTGTTTGAATTTTATAAAAGTTAATGTGCCCCCCCCCCCCCCTCCAACTACTTTGATTAATCGTTGTTTGCTGGCTTTTTACACGAATCCATCACTTTGGCAAATGTTTAGCGGGCTCTGGTTTGATGGGATCGTGCGCAAAATATTCTTCTTATGCCGCGTTAACTGTTTTGATTGATGCTTAATCGCGCATTTATTCAATATCTCATTGCACCCTTGGAATCTTAACAAGTACACTTATTCTTTGTAATAAGCAATTTCAGCGAAAACTCACAAATCCGTATTTCAAATTTTGTATTCTTTAATGAATTCCTGGGTGTGCTCGTAACTCCATGAATCAGATCAAAATCTGATAAATCAGCTGATTTATATTGATCCAATGTTTCCTAAAAAAATAATCACTGAATCTTAATTTCTTATTTACAAACATTTAATTTTTAATCCACCTGGAAGCTAACCATTGACTCTCTGAGCGCGTCTCTCACTAGTTCGCTTGAATTTACTATATCCGGTGTACAGGAGGAAGCGAGGTTGAGCTCCTGGGGTCGAGACTGAACTCGGGGAGCATGTGTTATGACCGCCATCTTGGTTTCCTGAACACCTGTTCTCAATCCCATCAGAACTTCGAGAGTTTTCCTTTGTTTCCGTCGCGTTTTCCGGAGCTCCTGGACGACGCCATATTTCATAAAAAGAATATCTAAATGTTTTAAGAATGATTTTACTCTTAATGTGATGAATCATTGGAAATAAGAAAAATGGCGTCCCTTAAGCTTCTGAAGGCTTTCATCATTTATATCGTCCGAGCAAACTCTGAGAAAGTCCAGGTCCATATGATATCCAAACGGAAGCGGGACTTCAAACCTCAGATCTGAGGGACTAATTACTCCATTGGGACTTATTCCATTTCCGTTGGGACTCAAGTTTCCGTTGAGATTTCCGTTAACCTCGTGGTAAGATCTGTTTAGGTTTCCACTGATAATGCTTCCGTTGGTGATCATTCGGTTCGGAGAGGTTCCACTCCGCCCTACTCGGAGGGAGAGGGAGGAGGTGTAGTTCTCACCGTACCTGCCCGCCTCCCTGGGCAGGGTATTGTAATCAATGTATTTTGTTGAATGTTTGTTAAATTTTACACCCATTTTTAACGTAAAAATCTTTTTTATAAAAGCGTGTTAATTTAAAAATGTTTCTTTGCCCCTTAAAAATATTTTTGCCCCTTAACCTGTCGATTACAAATACAGTCTAGAAAAATTAATTTGTGAAACATGTCTTTTTTTTTGTATTTTATTTTCTAACAATATGTCTTTATCTTTTTCTGCGTTGGTTTATCTTTAAATTGATCTTTCTTTCCAATTTAAATGTATAATTATAAAATTATAAAAACAGTTCTTTGTTAGAGTAGGACAATTAAAGAATTAATTGCAATCAGATGTATCATATCCTTTAATTAAGAATTAATTACCATGAATCGGTCCCAATTAATGAAATTTTGACAAGGGAAAGTTTAATTATTTGCTAAATTCATTATTTTTGCATGATAGCTTTTACCCGGGGGGGGGGGGGGGGGGATTCCCAGGGATAAACGGTAAATTTTCCCACATTTTTAATTAGAAAGAAGTAAAATTTCTGTTGAATATGTTTATTGCTTAAATCTCAATTTATTAAGAAAAACGATTATTTCATATGATATTTTTGGGATGAATTTGCAACATCTTTAATCCTTCAGTTTCATTTTTTACTTGGACAACAGCAAACTTGTTTGATTTCGAAAAGTTTCGGGAAAAAATGAGAAATTTTCCGAAAATTTTATTTCGTATTATGCACACTTTTTCGCTAAATTTCAAATTTTTCCGCTAAAATGAATTTTGCGAAAGAACGCGAAATTTTTCGCATTTTTTTACGAAAGGAATGCACAAAATGCGAGATTTTCGACGAGAAAAAAGCTAATTCTCCATTTGGATGGAAACCCTAGTTTCGAACGAATTAAAGCAAGAGTTTTTTTTCGCTAAAAATAAAAATCGTAAAAATAAATTGTTACAGTGTAATTTACTGTGCGTTATCCCGTCTGTTTTCTATGAATGAAAAATCTATGATTATAGATTTAATAAACTGGTTTACCAAGGCCCATATAATCTAGGGGACTAATTAATGCATCAGCTGAATCTGAAATCTATAAAAATTCTAAGTTTTACAAGGCCCTTCAGCCATGAACTATCAAGGATAAAAATGAGTAAATTACAAATTCTTGAAAATAATTCTGTTTCACGTATATATCCGCATATATTACAAAAGGTCAACACATATATAATGAAAAGGGGACTTATCCCCTCCCCCTCCTCCTTCTTTAAAAAAGATTTTTCAGAACTTGAAAAGTAGGTCAGAGGCATACTCAGGGGGGGAAGGCTATTGGGGCACAGGCCCCCACTCACTGGATCTGTGAAATCTGTGGTTTTATAGTGTTTTCAGGCCCTAACCCTTCCCCCCCTCAAAAGAAAAATTTCTTAAGTACATCCCAAAAGTTGGCATATATGGCCATAGACAATACACATAAAATGCTTGACAACAGTTCTCACACAAATCTCCAAAATGACCTGCACAATTTGTTCTTAAATTATTCTTAATATCGAATATTAACAACTACTAGAGATGTCAACGTTTTGATTTTTCTAGATTTTAGCTTTCGTTGCGATAGTGTTCATCAAAAGTATAAACGTTTAAAACGTTACGTTGCACATTATGAAATTTTATGGTATAGAGTAACGTTACGTTATGAATTCTCTGCACTTGAATATCTTATACAACGTTAAGCTTTAGTAAATGTTAGTGAAAAACAGTAAGCTCCGTTACGCTTTTGAATTTCCCGTTTTAAAAAACTTTTCCAACGTTGCGTTAAAGCTTATGTAATACTAGAAATTCAAGGCGCTTCGCGCCCTTCTTTCTAGCCTTAGAGGGCGCTTCGCGCCCATCTCCTAAATTAATTGTGAACATGTTCTCTTTGTGTACATCGTAAAACAAAACAAAAATAATTCGCGGATTTTCACAAAAAATTTCACGGATTTTCAAAATTTTAAAAAATTTAATGACGATCGAATTTTGATGGAGACAAATATTTGAAATTTTGATGATTCATAAACCTTCCCTGGAGTCCCTAGATGTCCCACAAAAAATTTGGGCCCGATCGGTTCAGCCGTTTTGACGTTTATTGGATACAAACAAACAAACAAACAAACAGACAGACACCAAAACAGACAAGCCAAATTTATATATAGATAACCACAATTTTTTAACGTTCCACTTTCATGCAGGTAAATATTTTCAGAGACCTTACGTTACATTTTCACTTGGTTTAAGATCTAGAAGATAACAAACGTTTTGCTTTCATAAAACGTCAATTGGGGCATAGTTCTGTACGTTACAATGCATTTCAGTGCAAAGAATATTTTTTGTTAACGTTACGTTTTATCTTAACTTTTCCAATAAAAACTCTTTTAATTACGTTTAGAAAATTTATTAAAATGCACCTTTTCTTACGTTACGATTTATCGAAACGTTATTGTGAAAACTTTTTTGTTACACTTTTTTACAACAGACAATCAAAACTGTTTATTCGTTTCGTTTTTAAGAAAGATTTGAAAAAAAATTCTATACGTTGCGTTGTATTAAAATGTTCAATTAAAACGTTACACTTTATTAAAATAATATTGTTTCTAAATGAAAGCATTGCAAGATTTTTTTCGTGATAATTACATTTTTTTACTTACCCTGTATGTTGCTGTTGTATTTTTAACCTTTTTAGAGATTGTGTAGAAGAATATGCATTATGCAATATAAAGATGTTATAAAATTATTATTTTTAACGATTTTTAAAATTTGTGAATGAAAGTTTTTACCATTAGACTTTCAACTCAAAGTGTTTCTTAAAGGGACTAGAGACGTAATTTCAAGTGGCCTTCCATTTAAAAAAAATTTAAAAATCGTCCATAGGGTTGCGATTTGACGATTTAATATCGGAGCATTCACCGTAAGTCCACAAAAAAAATTCAATTTTTTATTTTTATGTTATACATTATTTTCTTGGAAATTCAGTGCTAAATTCAAATCTAAAAAGAGTTTAAAGAAATTGAAAATTAAGTGAGTCAGAGCTAAAAAGCTCATCAAAAACATTAAAAAGTTTTAAAACCGGAATTTAGTACCGTTATTGGGCCATAACTTCTTCAGATTTTAATATATCTAAAAATGGTTTTCAAATCTGAAATTCAGCATGAAATTTTCAAGAAAATGATGTATCATATTTATTTTGTGCCTTACGGTGATTTCTCCTATATTAAATTAATTGTCAATTCGCAACCCTATGGACGATCTTGAAATTTTTTTTTATTACAATATTTTTTTTTATTTAAAACGCAGCAACCTCAGGTGGGCGGCTAGCTGATTTCTAAAAAAAGTCACAAATCAATTACCCTTGATGTCCAGCATACATTTACAAGATAGGAAAACACTCATAATTTTCAAATCATCAAAATCAGATAAAGGTATACACGTTATCATGGCCCTCTTTAAATGGGACACTTCATAAAATGAGTAAAAATTCGGCAAGGCAAACCACTTTTGTATGTGGAACAGTAGTTCTAAATTATTATTTTAGATTAGTTTAGGGTTAATTTTTTCCTTTTTTTACGCAATGCAGACTGACCCTTTTCTTCTATCTAATAGAATTCATAGTTTGAAATATCTAAGGTCTACAACATTAGGTAGCAAAGATATAGGGATTAGAAATATAAGTTTGTGAACAACTCAATTCCTTTAGACATTCTTATCTAACAGAAGTCATAGCTTGAAATATCAAAAGTCTACAACACCATGGCTTGCAAAGATGTAGAGATTAGAAAATTATAATTTGTGGCAAATTTTTAGTTCTTTTTGTGCTTTTTTATGTTACTTACCTTACAAAGTAAGTAAAAAAGCGGCATTAGCTTTAGTTTACAAACCACAATGAAAATGTTTTCAGAGTTCATGTTTGGGGTTAAAAAATAAAAAAATATAGTAAGACAAGTGCTAAATTTTTTTAACACAAACAACGCGAAATAAAATTATTTAACATTTTTTTCTTTAAAAAAATTGATTAAAAAATCAGTTTTTTTTCTATTCTAAAGTTTCATAAATATCTATTGATGAATAAAACATAACACGCATTTTCCATTTGCTAAAATATTCTTGCATTTTAGTAAGTATCTACATTTCTAAATTTTTCAACTTAAAATGATTTACAGAATACCATTTTTTTAATGTTATTCGTTACATTATTGAAATTTTGCTCTGTAAAAAAACTTTCGTTTCCTGATTATAAAAATAATAACATATTTCTGCAACGTTGAATTTTTCATTATATTATAAGGTAAAACGTTTTAAAACGTTTTCATAAACAGTAATGCATTTTTCAGTAACACAACGTTACACTTTTTATAAGTTGAACTTTGAAATAGAAATCCTTTCGTTACGATATTCAATCAAATCACAATTATGTTTCAAACGTTAGACTTTCAAGTTCCCTATGGAAACAAAAAATTTCTTAACGTTATGGTCAACAGTTGTAGATATTAGAAAAATAACGTTACATTTCCACAAAACGCTAAGGTTAGGGGTATGATCCTCTAACGTTAACGTTAGGTATGAGCTCCTCTAACGTTAACGTTTAACGTTCACGTTATATAGAATATATCCAAACGTTACACATTATTGTAACGTAACGTACAAAAACGTACATTTTACTTTACGTTACACTATCGTTGACATCTCTAACAACTACAGGCAAGTATATAAATCTACTCAATTTATTGACTTATGTTCATTTTTTCAGACATACTTTCATCCTAGATTCAAAATCTGTCAAAAATAAACAGATCTTATTTTCTTAAATTTGTAAAAAAAAGTATGAAAAATAAATATGATAAATTTTCCTTTAACGGATGAAAATGGGTTTCAAAGTTAAGGCTCGCTGACTTTTAACCGTGAACGAACCGCTTAGAAATAAACGGTAATCTTTTCCATAAAGGATTCACAACAGACCTATTAAATGATCCGTAGCGACGATCCACTGAGGATTATTTTTCTCAGATACTCTTTCAAAAAACTTTGATTTATATTAAGATTTAGTTATTGATAATCACTAAAACCACCAAACAAATCTTTAAAAATCAGTACCCCCACCCCCCACCCCCCTCGTTTGTTGGCAAAGAAGTTAGATGTAGGATATGGCGCTAAACTGTATAATGTATTATGATGATAAAATCTAATAGCCAGATCGCACAACATTAGATAATTAGTAAATAAAAGCAATGCAGTTTAGAACGTTTAATGGTGACGTTTTGCAGTTATAATTTGTTCTAATTGTTCGGCTTATTAGGATATCACTTAAAGCAGATATGTAACACATTTAAAGGGGGTATCCCAACATCTTAATCTGTTTTTAAAAAACCAAAATTTAATTATTTAAAATATAAGAAATTTGAAATTTTCTTATTCTTTAATTTTGATTTAATTGGTTGTATAAAAAATGATATCATTAGATTAAACCAGCTTGGCATGTTGAAGCTTACAAAAAATTTAAATAAAATAAATAAAGAAGAATTTTCTAATTCCTCCTACAGTTAACAAGTCTGATGTAAAGCCATGTATATTATTACAGGGTGGGGCCCCTAGACGAAAATTGTCTGTTTTATTGAATTCAAATTATCCAAATTCTTACAATTTTCTTCAGTTTTACGAGGGGTTAAATATAGGGATGAAAACATATTTGAAAGAGAAAAGTAAATATTACGGTATTCAGGATTGTTATCTAATAACATTTAAATTCCTTTAATTAGTTTTTTTTTTTATTTTTAGATTTCTTATTCATAATAGAAAAAAATTCAGATTGTCAGTAAAAACGAAATAAAATATTTTAAGATAGGGGCGGTTGTGTACGATGTTTGATAGCCATGTAAAAGGGGAACCGACTTAGCGCACTCTGCAGCTTGAAAACCCAAAAGTTTTGGTCCCTATAAAAAAATCTACCTGATAGTCTGTCCGGCTTGATTTCCAAGTATTCGGAGGAGAACGGCTGTTCATACACAATCCTCATCATTCTCAAATCAAACTGAAAAAAAATAATTATAATTTGTTTTTGTGTAAGATAAGCTGAAATAGAGAAACATTCCAATAGCGGAAACGCCAGCTAGAGAATTAAAAACGAATCGGTTCAGTTGTGTTTCTTACTTCAAATATTTTGATATTTTGTGATTTTTTTATAGGTTCCTGTATCACTGTGTGATTTGTCACAAAGGTGTAAAAATAACAGAGAGGCTATGCCCTCCGGTCTACCGTAGTAATTCTTAAAAGTATTTATGTATTTTTTATTATTATTGCTCCAGAAAATTAGATGATTTGGGTTGTTACGGTTTTACTCTTACTGAATAAAAAGCCAGATAGAAATAATTGTTTTCCTTAACTGTTTTACATAATTAGAATTTAGGATATATATATATATTTCCATCAACCCCCCCCCCCCACCTCTCTCCATACCTACAAACAAATATAAAAATATTTTTATGTTAACATTTACAAACGTTAAAACAAACTTGACCTATATAGTGTAATCTGTAGGAAAAAGGTTGAAGTGACCTTAACGGAAGATAAGTAGGTATCGTATTTACTAATGTTTCAACATTTCTAAACTAAAGACTTAATCTGCTGCCAGAACCCTCCCCCCCCCCTTTATTCGACTTAAACCCAAACTTTTTCTCCCATGCTCCCTAGGCTGCCAAGTACTAATATGCTTCAACTTTATCAACTTTTTCTTCCAACATGCACACAGACGAACAAATTTTTGAGCAAACTAAAACGCGGCATTTAAATACATCCGTGCACGAATGATGATTGCGCATTTTTGTTGACATAAGTGACAGATGATTAGGAATGAAGGGTAAATGGCGAAGGGTGAGGGGTCGGATGATGAGGGGGGGGGGTGTAAAAGTGCAATAAGATTAAATGTAATCAGTGCAATGCAGCTTTCTCAAAATAGACTAAGCATGCAGAAAATCCACCCTTTAAATTAATCTTCTTCATAAAAAAAAATCTTAATGCTTCTATTTCAAAAGCGTATAATTAAAAGTCTTTGGCAGTTGATGAAAAACATAAAGAAGATCGGCTTTCGAGTTTAAAATAAAAATAAAATTAAGTTTGAGCGTCAATACAGGGTTGCCCAAAAATCATGAGACTTCTGAGACGAATGTGAAGAATAAATTCTAATCTTATACATTTTAATATTTTCTAATTCGTAACGGTCCTTTATGAAATTATAAAACAGTCATTTAAGAGTTTAGGTCGTCATTAATATTTCATATTTACTGGGTAACCCTGTATAAGTTTGCATGCGCTTCAAAAGATTTATTGCGTGCAATGTCTTGTAAAAGCGTATATAGCGGATAGATATACTGGCTGTACCACCCATAAATGTGGAAATACACGAAAATAAAAAATCTTACATATTTTGTTCCTGTTAATAATGGGATATGTATGTATATTGTATATGTATAATACCACCCCCCCCCCCTTTTTTTAACTGAAAACTATAGGGCACCTTTGCAATTATTTTCAAAGGTTAAAGATCAAATATGAAAAAATATATTTTAAAGGAAAAGTTAATATGTGATTGCTACGTTCCTTTTCTCTGAATTATTATTACTAACCATTAGCTCAGTTTTAGGGTTGTTAAAAACTTCTATTGCGTTCTAGAAAAATTGTCTAAAATGAATTCAGATGTCAAAACCTTTGTGTCGTGAATATCGGGATCAACCATTGATCTCCATTTTATGCAGTAGGGTTGCGGATTAATTTAATCCCCTTGTTGTCAATGGTAATGTCCTTCATATTTTATTTTGATTGATGGATCAAACAATGATTCTTAAATTTTGAAGTGCCCACATTGGATTTCAAGTTCAAGCGTTTTAAAAATAACAATATTATAAACAAAAGTTAATACCTCTGTTAATTTTTTTTTTTAGAAATCTTGATGTGAATAAATTTAAAGGCTAGAAATAAAAACTAAAGAAACCCTTTCTATCACCATCTGTTTGAAAAAAATTCTGTTGCAAAGTTTAAAGGGGGTCTGATATAGAATCGACCATGATTATGATTAATTGATTTTTTTTTATTTCCTTCTGATGCTTGTGTAAATGCATAATTTTTTTTAAGATCTAAATGTTTATTTTGTAAAATTATAACATAAAACATTATTGGTTTAAAGATATGTGTATATACTAAATATACATGTTTATAATGACATTTTACATTTATATATATTTTCACTGTCTATTAAACAAAGATTTATAGTTCTCGAATGTGCGTGTACCAAATCACATCCTTTTGTGCTGGAATCTTTTGAGGCAAAGCAGGCATAGAAATCCCCCACTTTTGCTCTTGTTCTTTTTGGGCAAAGATTACACTTGTCAGAAGTACAATATCCAAACATACTGTAGGAACTGGAGGAGGGTGCTAGGTTAGATTCAGTGGTAGATTTGTTGGATCCATGAAAGATGGGTTTGAACTTTGGGGAGGGATCTGATCCATCCAACTGGGGGATTAGAGATTCGCTCGGGAATGCAAATGCATAATGCTTTCAGCCATTTAATTGGCTAGAAATACAGTGTGTACTACAGTAACCCCTTTCTTTTTTTCGCAAACACTCCTTTTAATTGAGTTTGGTTTGGTTTGGTTTGGTTTGTCTCCCTCCCCTACCTAATTATTATTCTTTGTAACCAGTTATTTTCTTATTACTTCTCGGAAGCATGAACTTTGAATTATTTTAGAATAGTTTTGGTTCTAGTGGGCAGTTCCACCCCTCCCACGCATATTCATTCTTCGCGGCATTCAATCATTATTTCTGCGCATGCGCATAATAATTATACGGGGCATTCAATCACTATTTCTGTGCATGCATAATAATTATACGGGCCATTCAATCACTATCCTGTGCATGTGCCAGTTTATATTTAACATCTGTATTAAACAAAGGGGGGAGGGGTTAATTAAGGCAAATTCCTTAATGATGACGTTTGTCTGATCTGTCAATCAAGTAGAATTAACCAAATCTGATATTTGGCCAAAGGGATGAATTCGCTCCAGTCCAAATTCTCAAAAATAATTCAAAATTTCTAAAATTCCTGAAAACTTTTTAGAGCTGTTTAATAACCTATGAAACAATAAATTTGGACGTTAAAATTTTAACTTTAATGGTTCACACTTTTTCAATTTGATTCACAAAATTGGAAAATTTAAAAACATGAATTTAGGTTTGAATGAATAAAATGTTAAAAAGACAACACCCAAGATTTTACAAAAGATATCGAACACGCAAAGAACTATTTTCTTCGCCCTTAACTAATTTTTTTTTGCGCAGGAAAATAAAACCAGAAACAAAAAATTAAAATAAAATCTTAACTTTCAACTTTTTACGCTGAATGTTGGTATGGAGGAAAACGAGAGTAAAATAAATATTTGGAAGGTTTTGGTTTGAAACCTTTAGATTGATATTCGTTCTTCGTCTACCCACATTTAGAATACGTTTAGTTATTCATTTATTCTTACATATAAACCTACAGATTCAAGAAAAATTGTAAACCGCATTTATTTCCTATTTTTAGATATTAAAGGCAACTTTATTGACTATGATCTAAAAAACCAAACAATTTAAAGCCTTCCTATTTGTAAACAAACGTTTTTCCCTTCTATGTCAAATAAAACCTCATTTTTAGTTAAATTATTTTTGTTGCAGCTAAATAAATTATTTGTTGAACTTCAGCCTTAAATAGAAGAGATTTTTTGCAACATTTTTACCTATTCTTGTTCTATATAGTCCCCTTTTAATGTTATTCGTTACATTATTGAAATTTTGCTCTGTAAAAAAAA